ATTATGGTCAAACTTCACTTAAGGTAAGTTTGTTTAACCTTAAATTACACTTCGCCGTTACATCCTCGACATTTACATAATTCACTAGGTAGATGTTTAGCGCTCATTTGAGAAATAGCTTTTTAGAATATTTTTTTTTTTTTTTGGTATAAATATGAGTCGGATAGGCTTATGAAAAAAAACCCAAATAAATATTTATGACTAATTTTAATCAACATTATGAGATTTTTTAATTTTTACTCTTTAACAATCCTCAAAGATAGCTTGTGCGAAAACATTATCATTATTCTGTTCAAGAGGTCTATTGTAGAATTTTCCAAAAATTAACGAGTTGCCAGACCAGCCTGCAGTCTGTTTTATTATGTCTACCGAAACGCCTCTACGATTAGCCGCTGATGTAGAAGCATGTCGAGCACTATGTGCTGTGAATATAGAGGTGTTTATACCACTTTCGGATAACACCAATTTAATCCAGCGACTAATCGTAGATGCAGTCGCGTTATGGAAGGGTCTTTTGGTAGTGAGAATGAGCTTATCTGAATTCTGGCCGTCTCGAAGTAATTTTGTGGAATTTATATACGACACTAAGGTTTTTGCCGGACAGATTTCCGGTCTGTTGGGGAAGAAAGGAATACTTAGTCTAGGCATTTGTTTTCCAGGTGCTGAGGTCTTAATTAGATTATCTATTATAATTATTACATTAGATTCATTGAAAGCAATATTACATATGTTAATTATTGACAACGTCTGGACTCGTTGTGCAGTTGACAATGCGAGCAGAGTCACCAATTTTTTTGTTAATTGGTCTAAAGGTAAGTCCTCATTAGGATACCAATTGGAAATGAAATCTAGAACAAGGTTTGTGTCCCAAGTACACTGGTATTTTGGAAAACATGGCTTCTTTTTGAAAACTCCTTTGAGAAATCTGATTATGTAGTCGTGTGAACCCACATTTTTTCCTAGAACTAATGATAAGGCCGAACGATAGGTATTTAAAGTAGAATAGCCTGCCCCAGCGTCGAACAATGTTGTAAAAAACTTTAGTATGAATGGAATAGACACTGAAAAACAATCAGCAATTTTATTTGTATTACAAAATAGCCACCATTTTTTGTATGCGCTATTATATTGTTTTAAGGAACTTTCTGACAAAGAAGCTATCATTATATCTATAGTTTCTGGGGTTAGATTCTGTTGGGAAAATGCTCGCCTGATAAAACTGATGACACCAGGGTAAGGCTCCGCCATAGAGGATGCCGTGTCCTGCAAGGAGATAAGAGAAGCTGACTTTGTGGCAAGAAGTGTACTGGTTTTGCTATTTGCAGTGAGATATATAACGGATACCAGGGTTGACTCGGCCAGTACGGGACCACCATAATGCCTTGAGCTTTATTATCTATTATTTTTCGAAGGCATTTCAAGATGAGACTGAAAGGTGGAAAAGCATAGAAAAAATAATGCCCCCAGTGCAATGTAAATGCGTCAATATTAAAAGCGTGTGGGTCACGTTTCCACGACACATATTTTTGACATTTAGCATTAAGACGGGTAGCAAACAAGTCTATTTCCGGGTGTCCAAATTCAAAAATTATTCGGTCAAAAGCTAAACCTGACAATTCCCACTCTGTATCAATATTAGTGCACCGAGACTCTAGATCGGCCTCGATATTCTCTTTTGATTTTATATATGAAGCAAAAATAAAAAGCTTACGTTCTTCACACCATTGCCATATATTGCGACTGATATCATTAAGGTGTGGATATTGGACTCCTCCCATTCTATTTATGTATGATATGGCTGTCGTATTATCTATTCTTAATAATATTTCTTTATTTGTAAAGTTATTAGCAAAGCATTTTAAGGCAATAAAAGCCGCTCTCAATTCTAGATAATTGATATGATTTTGGGCTTCATCTGAACTCCAAAATCCACCAGTACGCTCCCCGTTACATGCTGCTCCCCAACCGGTCAGAGATGCATCTGTAAATATTTCTACAGCATACTGAAAATGTCTAATAGGATTAATAGAAGAATTAGCTAGATTTTTCCACCATAGTAGATCTGGGTCTAGATCCTTATTTATAGTCATGTATTCATCATAATTTTCATTAGATTTCTGAAGAGCGAGAAATTTTGCTTGTTCAAGACGCTTGGTGTACATCCAGCCATAACTCACAGCGGGACAAGCTGACGTTAATAATCCCAATACCTTTGCAAAGTCTCTAATAGGTATTTTGTTCTTTTTCGACAATTTTTTAACAATTTCTCTAATTTTTAATTGCTTTTCAGGTGGTAATTTTAAGGCCATTTCCAGGGAATCTAATTCAAAGCCTAAAAAGTTGATATTCTGTTTAGGGGTTAACTTACTCTTATTAAAGTTTATTACAAAGCCCAGTCGTTTTAAAAGGTCAACCGTTTTAGAAACTTCGCGGGAACAATGTTCATACGTGTTGCTGATACATAATATATCGTCCAGGTACACTACAAGCAAATGACCATTATTTCGTAAATAAGTAGCAACCGGCTTAAACAGTTTGGTAAAAACGAACGGCGCCGAACATAGACCGAAAGGGAGGCATTGAAATTCGTAAGTACAGCCCTGAAATTTGAACCTAAGGTATTTTCTACAAGAAAGATTAACAGGAATTAAAAAGTATGCGTCCTTTAGGTCAATACTTGCCATAAAACAAGATTTAGAAATAAGCTTGGAGGCAGTTCTTATGTCCTCCATTTTAAAGTGTTGTGTATAAACAAATTTATTTAATCTTTTTAAATTGAGTATGAATCTGAAGGTACCATCTTTTTTAGGAATTAAGAAAATTTTTGAAATGAACTGATCTGGGATGTCTATGCATTTTTTGATGACCGCCAATTGCAATAATTTATTTATTTCGTTATGTATATTTTCAATTTCTAGTGAAGAATAATATGGATTTGTAGGTTCTATATATTGTACAACTGGACACTTAAAAGGTATCTTATAGCCAGTAATGTATTCTAAAACAACTGGATCATTTGTAATACATTTCCAGACATTATAAAAATGCCTTAAACGCCCCGCATGTGCATTTACCTCTGTTACGATTTCTGTGTAATCTTGTGGCCCGTCCTCGACGATGGCGGATGGTATCTGTCTACTGGCGTGGGCGGTGGCCGTCTGCCGGTTGTCGCCGACGTCGGTGGACGGTACCCGTTTGCTCTGTTCCTGCCACTCTGTTGCCTGGACAGGCTTCTGGCGTTTCCCTGGCGGGCTGTATATTTGTTAGTTCGGTAGCTGGTCGAGGGTTGAGGTTCTTTCCTCTTGACCTGTAAACCTGATCTTTCGGCAATCTTCGTTGCTTTAATTTTTTCTCCTAGGTTATCTCCAAACAAATAAGAGTCTCTTTTTACATTTTGAACCATGTTGATGAACTTTTTGTCTAAACAAAACATGATCAGCTTCCTTCTGTTAATAGTATTTTGATAGTGTAAATCCAGGAGCAACTGTCCAGTTTCAGACAATCTTTTAATAATTTCCGTCTTTTCTGCATTGCCATCGATCAGGGTTGTCATCAAGTTGGTTACTGCTGCTATTCCTATGCCGAGATGATGTTGGGCCTTCTCCAGGCGCTTGTCCCTATTTCTAGAAGATTCGTTTAGCACAGCTGATATTTCTGGATTTAGTTTTGGCGCTTTAAGTAGCTGAAAATTTTCTGGTATAAGGGCGCTTTCCAATAGATTCTGCCTCTGCTCTTTACCAAGACCGTCCATGAGTATGCTTCCCCAGCGTTTAGAGACTTCATCTCTGATTTTTGGGCCGAACTTTTCTTCTTTTGCCTTTGAGTCTCCTAATATTGCGAGAATGTCTGATGATAGACATGAAGCATTTTCCAAAGTATTGTTACTTGTGTGAGTGACACTAGGTGCATCATCATTGCCCTTTGAGGCACTAGGGTCCTTATCACAGCTTTGTGGAGTTGATACCTGAAGATCCGTGGTCTCTGTTGGATATCTGTGCGTATTAGCATCAGCTATCACGGATCGGACGGTTTGTCTATCCATGTCTGAATAATATTCATGTGACGAAATGCCGTCACAATCTGACTGCTGACCCATAGAACTCGAATACTCCGATTCGTAACCTGTAAAGACATACACTGCCTATATACTAGCCCTTCGTGGCCACTAACATGGCCTTGATCGCATCAAGGCACTGGATCTTAGATCCGATATGTAATTGCAAAGGACGTAATCTCGTCACGCCACGTAAATGCAAAGAATAAAATAAATCAAATTAACCAACTTTTTCATTGGTACATATTTAAAATACTAGTTGTGACTTGTATAATATTAGCTGTAATCGCATCACAGCCTTATAAAGGTGATATTATTATTATATACATAGCCGTGAGCGTCATTCCTTCACAGCGAATTAAATAAATAAAATTATTTGACAGGTGTGCGAAAGTGAAAATTTCCGCACTTTGTAAAACAAAGACAAAATTTAAATTAAACAGTTACAATTTGTTGATATTCTTCAATATGAAGCTTATGCACTCCGTACATGAAGCGTACATTGTGCAAAAAAGATAAAACCGATAATCAATATCCACTTACTGTCATCGTCCTCCATATTGCGGCGGTAAAGGCGTTCTTCTAAACGCCGAATTTTTCGTCGTATTTTATCGGGATCCTTATCTTTACATTTCCTTTTTCTCATTATCACTTACACTTTGTATTTTACGTAGTACGAACTTAATAATTACACTAAAAACTTTCACTTTTAAATATATTGATTATTCGAAAAAAAAACAGTCGTTTCGATGCCAGCACAAAGAAAGCGAATGACGTGTCATGGATGCGCGGGAGCGGGTGAAGGCGCGGGGGGCACGCCCCACTCATGCTAATCGTTTTCATTCTTTTTTTCTTTATATAGATCTAAAATTGTGTTCGATGCCTAGTACATAGAAGAGTGAACTACCTAGTGAATTATGTAAATGTCGAGGATGTAACGGCGAAGTGTAATAATAAAATTAACAGTGAATAAACTTAAAATCTTTTTCCTGAAAGTTAAAATAATTCAATAATATAAAATTTAAATTCGTTCCTTCAATCCTTGTTTTATTGTATTTACAGTTTACTTTATCTTTATTCACGAAAACTTTTCTATTAACTATATTTTTTTCCAGTGTTTTTGTGCGAACGAAATCTTCTTTCTTCATTTCGAAAACTTTCAGTGGGTTATTTATTTTACATAGTTTCATAACACTTAAATAATCTTGTACGGTATATAGGCGTTGGTGCTGTTTGCGGCGTGTTTCGATTTTAGAAAAATCCGTGTCATTAGGCAGGAAAGAATGTCCTGATTCGAGGAAACGTAATGAAATTGATTTCAAGTTAGGGTGAGTATGCAAGGTAGCCTTCATCATTAAAGTCAATTTTATGTTACCGTTTTGACCACCACAAGAGTCGCTCCACAAAATTAATTCTTCTTTGTCGTGTGGCAGCTCATTTTGTATGTATTTTAACAAGCAAGATCCTAATTCCTAGGCACCTCGCCCTGCCATGCCCTCCACCCATATAAAACAGTGGCCCTTATCATTTGAAGCAGAATGGATTCCACTGTTATATACCCATAATTGCCGTTTGTAAAAGACGATATTTGTAAGTATTCTAGACAGGGGTAAAGTCTTTTCGAGGTCAAATATCAGACATTCAACCTTATCCTCCCTTTTTGCTCTTTGGAAGTCGCTTTTCATTTGATCTCTTAAACCTTGTGCCAAATCCAAATGAGCATTATGTTCTCTCATCTTCAGAACTGATTCTTCTGAAGATGAATTTTTCTTTGCGATTTCGTAAGCATCACATTTATTGCATGTGTCTTTTTTTAGTGCTTTTAACCTGAGATTAAATTTTGAGTAAAAGTTTCTTTTTATCGTACTAAAACTCACGCATTTACGACCTTCATTTTCAGGGACTGATTTAAATTCGTTTCTATATATCTCATACATTTTTGGTAGGGTCAATGTGGGTGCTAAATATTTGGCGTCGGTTTTTTCACGACTATAATGCGAAATATATTTCGGTAGTTTCTTGATAACGTTTACTACCAATTCCAAATCTTTCTCCTGAATTTTATACAAACAATGGGCAGTTGGTTTTATGAGTTTTTCTGTTGCCTGTTTACATAATTCATCATTAGTAGGTAGATTTAAAAGTTTAGAGAAGTGGACAGTAATGGGTTTTCATACTTACTTCGCAGGCCTTGCCCTGGAAGAAGTCGCACGGTCCATAAATGTCAAACTTTCCGTGTTCGTTTTTTGAAAGTAATGCAAACATTTCCGAGCATGTTTGAGAAAATTTATTTTTAATATAAAAATTTCATTGCTGTATCCTATTATATTTCGACGACCTCGGTGGCCTGACGGTTTACACTGGAGCGCTTAATGCGAAGGTCGCTGGTTCCATTCCTGGTAGAACCAATTTGGGAAATGAACTTTTCTAAATTGGTTCTGGTGGATGTAGAAGAGTAAAAAGGTGGCATTAATGGCGAGGTTGTTTATATAAAAATATCAAGTGGCATTTTATATCAGGAGCCCACGTATTCCCGGTAATGGTTGAAATTTATGTTTTATTTTTTTATGACACTTTGGGTCAAATCACACTCAAGGAGCAGCGGCACGCGGCTGAAGGAACTAGCGAGGGCGCGAGATGCCGCGAGGCTTAGCGCAATGAGGCCAGGGTAGCCTTGCGGAGTTGTACAAACACACAATTTTCGCTCATTATTTTATATTATTATTTTTTATCAGTCTTGTTACGTCGATATCCTCCAGTGAAATTACAAAAAGTGTGCAGGCGGCGGGGAGGCAAGCGCAGGCGTGTGGTGCCGCGTGCCGGCTCGTTCCATCGCGCGGTTGCCAGGTGCGCCACGGGCAGCCACGCGGTGCCTCTTAGTGGTTGCTACAATTATTACGGCTGTTGGCGGTACAGTCCTATCTCTATCTCTTGCCTACATTAATGCTTGGCATCAGAAATAGGTAAGTTAGCAGTACTTCACTTTACAAATTCTTTCACATGGAGCTCTACTACTACTAAATCTTCATTAAATTTTCATTTTTTTTAATTAGCCTACTGCCCCACTGCTGAGCAAAGGCCTCTTCTCTCGACTTCCACAGTTTCTTGTTTGACGCAATGTTAGGCCAGTCTGTAATTTATTTAAGATTCTATCCATCGTCTTTACACCTAATATATTGCGTTCCATCGCTCAATGGCAAACCATGATCTTGGACTTTTGACTTTCGGTCAAGGTCTGCTCGTCGTAGGTAAGGATGGGCAGGATACTCACGGTAACGAGTTTTCGCTTAACTGTGATTGGAAGCTTTCCCTTCATAAGTTCTTTCATGCACTAGTAGCTCTTCCAGGCGATTTCAAAGCGTAGTTCAACCTCCCTATATTGCCTATTACTGAAAGAAACTACCTGGCCCAAGGATCATATGCCTTAAAATTGTTATATCTATAAACAGTCTTAATATTGTATAGATTTAGATAATAGTTCTCTATAAACGGTTTCAGAAAAAATTAATTGTTCTTATAGACTTATTTCAATCAAGTCTAAATTTTAAAACCTTCTTAATTCCAAACAACTTAATTAAGTGTAATCTCTCTTAAGATTTACTCTTATAGTCCTTATTTTAAGTTCATCTGTAGAACAACTGATTGTTTTTAGTAAAATTGTTCTATACACATCCATTTCATATATATCAAGTCTATTAATACTCTAAAAACTAGTGTTCTTAAGTTTATTTTAGATATATTTAATTTATAGACATTCTGTAGTGTTTGTACTTATTGACAAACATTATAACGCGTCTTCAGTAGATTTTATTGAAAAAAATACTACAATTAGGGTTTTTACTCTAATGGACGTTCTAACAGTTCATGCAAAATGGATAAAGTAAAGAATAATAAAATATCTGGTGGAGGTGGCGAACCTTGGATATTAAGTTACATAATTCAATACAATCAGCATTGCCAATGCCAATTGTTCAAATCCCCAAAAATCACGGTTAAAATCCCCAAATTTGGGGAGAGCAAAGTTCATATTCCCCACCAATTCTCTACATCTCGA